GTCCCCTCCCCGGAGTCCAGTCTCCTCGTTGCTCGTCCCCACCGCCCCCTCCACAATTCGTCTACACCGGCCCGTGGGGCCCTCGGCCCCTTCTCCTGGCGAAGTGCCTGAGGTAAAGGCAGGGCCAAGCGTGGGACCCCGGCACTCGTCGGGCCGACTGCGCCGCTCCGCGGACGCCACGGCCAGGGCACCAGCCTTTATTAAGCGCCTCCTGTGTGCCCGGCCTAAGCGCGGGGGCCTCGCGCCGACAGCCGCGCGCGGACCGGCCGAAGGCGCCCTCCCCCACTTCCGCCCGCGCGCCCAGGGCCTCAGTCTTCCCCACCTGGCCTTAGGCCCAGACCAGAGGAATCAGCCGAATAGATTGCGCGTGCGCCGAGAGAAGCGGCGAGGCACGTCACGCGGTCCTCCGTGCGCCGTCCATGCGTCACTTCCGGGTGCGACGCCAGGAAGCGGAAGTGACTGCCGCGGACACCGGCGTGGGTGCGAGGCATGGGTTTGAGATCTCCCGGAGCCGGAGGTACCTCCCCTGCCCCGCCAAGGTCGGGCCCGACGCGAGGGGCGCGCAGGGAGACCCGGGAGTCCGACGAGCGCCGTCCGGTGAGTGAGGCGGCGGCGGCGCGTGGCGCCACTTCCGGGTCCGGTGCGCATCACTTCCGGCGCTTGGGGAAGGGGGGGGCGAAGGCTCCAGGAGGGCTTCTCGGAGGCGCCGGCTGGGTGTGAGGCCGCGGCTCAGAATGCCGGCATCGGCCTAGGGCTTAGCGGGCCCTGGGGAGTCCCAAGGTGACCAAGGATCAAGGACCGAGCGGCCCCTTGTGTCCTCAGGCCCAGAGAGAGGCAGAAGCATCGGGCCTCTGCTTGGATCCCCCCAGTGATGGGGAGCTCTTTCTCTTAGAGGGTCCAAAGTTGCCCCGGGCCGAGACCTCCCCCGGGTCTGGGGTCAGAGCCCCCCCATCTTGTAAACTGAGGTCTGGACGGAAGTAACCTCGGGATCGTGGGCGGGCCACCGCCCTTCGTCCTCAGTTCTCCCCTCTGTAAAATGGGGATTGGGCTGGATGGGCTCTGAAGGGTCTGAGAAGCATAGGCCGGTCAGTCGACAAACATTTATTAAGCGCCTACAGTATGCCGGGCTGTGTCAGTCCCTTCCTTGCTGCCCCCAGGTAGGCTGCGCCTGCGCACAAGTCTTGCAGCCCAGCCTCCTTCCTGGAAGCCAGTGAGTCCTGACCCGGGTCCGAGTCGGCTTGCTTTCTTATCAGGATTTCTGTGTTTCGCTGACTGGTTTCCTTTTCTTTTGGCCAGGCAATAGGGTTAAGTAACTTGTCCAGGGTCGCACAGTAAGTGACAAGTGTCTGAGGTCGAATTTGAACTCGGGTCCTCCTGACTCGGGGCCGGTGCTCTGTCTGCTGTGCCATCTAGCTGCCCCAACACTGATTGGTTTCCTTGGTCACACTCTGACTGCCCAAGGGGACTGCCTGAGCCCGTGCTTCAGAAAGGATGTAGGCCAGCCTCCCAGGCCACCCCCACTTCAGCTCCAAGCACGGATTTTGTCTTGGTCCCCATGGATCAGGACCCCCACCCCCAAGCACTGAGCCTCCATCCCTAACAAGATTCTGCTCCGGATGACCGGATGACGCCCAGTTCCATCCGTCTTCTGCTAACACACTGTCCAGAGCAGTTTTCTAGAGTGTGTTTACAAGGGAAAAGAGAAGGCGCAACCTCAGATAATGCACCCAGATGCCTGGTGCCCCAGGCGATCAAGGCTGAGTACAGCCTCTGCCCAGAAATCACAAGCCTGGACACCAGTGGCCCTGAGGCCACTGGGCTAGCCCTTGGCTGGTCCATTCTCCAATTCAAGGTTCCCTCCCAGCCATTTCGCGAAACTGATGCTCCTGCTCTCCCTGTGTGACTCTTCCACTAACCAGCTACTTCCCTCCATCTCCGAGGGGTCCATCTGGCCCAGAAATCAATGGTTTCATGTAATACAGGGGTCGGGCTTCCACCTTCACAAAAGGCTACACCTGGATTCTAGGCCAAAGAGCTGAGTTTGAATCTCTGGGTGACTCTCATCAGCAGGTTACTTTATATCATTTAAATAGCATATCAAAGGTCAGTGTAGGTCCAGACTAAAACAGAAAAGAGAATAGGTGAAGTGGCCTTGGAAAAACTTTGGTTTCATTCAGGGACCCCCTGCTGCTTTTGCAGTTTTTGGAAAATGATAATGCAGTGGCGCACAGTAGATGTGAGAAAGCTGTAGCCTCTAATCCACAAGGAGGGACTTTGGGGGCCAGGATGTCATCAGGGAAGTGGAGCTGGGCTGGTCAGCAGCCCTGGGGTGTCTGCGTGGCAGGACCTTCTAGGGCAAACTTGTGGGATGGCACTGGGAATTTATAGAATGTCTACTTTATGCTAGCACTGGACTAAGCTTTTCACCAATACGATCTCATTTTGTCCTCACAACAAATCTGCAAGGGAAGTCCTGTTTTCCTCATTTTATGTTGAGGAAACTGAAGCAGGCAGCAGTGAATGACTTGCTCAGGGTCACACAGCTGGGTTTGAACTCGAGGCTTCCTGACTCCAGGCCTAGCACTTCTTTCCCTCTGGCACCCCCTGGTGGCCTGACTTGAGCCTCACTGGATTGGCAGCGTGGGGTGGCTTTGATGAGTATTATTACAGGTGCATTGTAGTATTGTAAGGTTTGCAAAGCACCGAACAGCCCTCATCTTTCATTTGTCTGGTGCAGGTGTTATTTATAGATGACAGAGTTGAGAGCCAAGAGGTTAAGGGCCATTGTAAGGATCCCACAGCCCCAGATCAGAGCCAGGGCTCTCTGCCAGCCCGAAGGCCTGTGAACCTGGGAATGAGAGAAGATGCAGCCCCTCCTCATTTGGGTACCCAGCCCTGGCTTGCCTGGGTGGTCCTGGGTCCCACCATGTCACCCCCTACTCGATAAATTGCATCAGCTCCTTGTGGCTTCCAGGATGCAATGCAGAATGTTCCCATTGGCCTTGGAAAACATTCATGACCTCCCCCACCTTGGATCCTGTGACCCTGGCCCCTGGCTGCTCCAAGATCAAGCCTCTCCATTTCTCAGGTCCAGGCATTCTCTGTGGCTGTGCCCCAGGGCTGGAACACTCCCCCTCCTCTGCTCAGACCCACTGACCTTCCCAGGTTCCTCCGAGTCCCAACTGGATCCCACCTTCTACAGGAAGCTTTCCCCAGATCCTCCTCATCCTACTGCCTGTCCTCTGTTCATTCTTTCTTGTTTATCCTGAATTTGTTTGTACCTGGTTGTATGGTACGTCCTCCATTAGACTATCTTTTGCACAGTGCCTCGCACATAGTAGGTGCTTAATATTTATTGATAGACTGACTGGGCTTCGCCCTGTGGAGCCAGTGTGTTCACCAGCCTTCTACCTCTTTTGCTCTGGGGGCTTCAGGAACTTGTGGAGGCCTTCATGAGGCAAAGGACAATCCAGGCTACTGGAGAGGGGCCAGTGATACCCTTACTTGGGGGCTTCCTTTTTTTTCAGCCTCATTTCAGAAATACAAGTCAGCCTTGGAAAGGGTGAGACAACAGGTGGCCGGGGGCAGATTTGCCCCTCACCCCCCTCCTTGTGGCCCTGTGGCTGTCAGTGTGGATTCTGGGGCCTGACCTCCCCTCTCCCCCCTGCTGCCCTTCTGAGCCAAGGGAGGCTGAGGTTGAGATGCCGAGGACTGGGCTTGGACTGAGCCTTTATTTTGCATATGTCTTAATTTCAGAAGGACTGTTCAGATTAGCAGCAAGGACCAGGCAGGATCGCTGGCGGGTGGGTGGGCTTGCGGGCCTGGCTTGTGCACATCTCTTGAGTACTAGCAGCTCCTGGGGTCAGTGGACAAGTAAGGCAGTGCAGACTTTTTGCTTCATAAATAAAAAGCACACACAAGTGTGCACACGTGTAGGGGCAAGGTGGGGTGGGGGGGTGATCTCAAATGCTATCACATGCAAGTTAAAGAAAATGTCCAGTTTGAGAATGTTCCCGAAACTTGTCAGCACAGAACTGGACACACGCACGCACACATACACACAACAAGAATGAAGGCAGGCATCGCTGGCATGAGCGCTTGGAATGGGAAGCACTGGGGACTGGGGACTGGGGACCCTCCCGGGAAAGAAGGGAGATGGCGCATGAGCAGCAGCGGCAGTGGTGGTGGCGCTCACTCTAACCTGAGCAGCTCCACGTCAAAGATGAGGGTGGCATTGGCAGGGATGACTCCAGGGTGCCCCGTGGCTCCATATGCCATGTCTGGGGTGCAGGTCAGCTTCGCCCTCTGACCCAGGCTCATCTGACAGGTTTGGGGGCAGAGGGGAAGAGGAGAAAACCCCAGGTTGGGAAAAGTGTGTGTGAGAGAGACAGAGACGGAGAGAGAGGCTCCCAGAGAACATCTAGGTGCCCTTTTTTCCGTATTTATGAAGTTCTTCCCCCTGCAGGATAGTGACTAGCTTACTTCACCAGGGGATAGTGAGTGGGAGCTGCAGCTGCCCCTACACCAGGGCACACACCGATCAGTGCCTGCCCCGTGTTCCCCGGTGGCTGCTGGCCATGCCAGCTCAGCTCCCCTGCTCTTTCCTCCACTCCTGATTCCCTCTCCTCCAGATCTCTCAGGTAGAGTTGGGGAAAAGCCCCAAAGACATGGCGTGGGGACAGGGGTCTCAGGAACCCATGATCCTACAGGAGGCAGGTCATCACTGCACTTCTAAATAACGGTGAGGAGCAGGTAGCAGTTACAAGGCTGCCATCCTCAGCCACCTCATTTGTTCTGGTGCCTTACCTGGGCCGTGCCTTCTTCGAAGCCCTTGATCACTTCTTGCCTGCCAATTTTGAACCTGAAAGGCTTGTTTCGATCTCTGGAGGAATCAAATTTCTTCCCATTCTGGAGCATTCCTGCCAAGACATCAGATTAGTATCAGCTCCGAGTCTGAGGGGAAGATGGGAGCCCTCCCCTTCCTCCACTCTCCTCTCTCTTTCTTCCTCCTCCTTGGTGGAGGAGGTGATGGCTACTTCCAGGGCCAGAATCCTTGGGATAGATCAGAGGATTCCCCAGGCTAGACCCTTTACTCTAAAGTACACACAGAGTTAGCTCCTGCAGCCTGGATTTGAACTGCTTTGGTGAACAACTCATGGTTCTATCCAGTAGCCCAGAGGCTTTCGGGCACTGAGGCTACATGTCCTGACCAACTCCTGGGCTTTAGTTAATGATAGAGAAATGGAAAAGGGATGATCCATCACGAAGCATTTGTTAAGCATATGCTGTATGCTAGGCACTGAAAAGTAGCTCTGTTTCCTTGTAGGCCAACACCCGTCCATGGCAGCAGGGAGACACGTTTCATACTGGCCTCGCCTGAGAGCTCCTTCCAGGCTCTTGAGCCAGGAGGCCACAGCACTGGCCCGTGGTGGAAGAGGACTCTTCCCTCATACTATGCGAGTAGACCTGGAGAGCACAACCGTAATCCTGGTGAGGTGCTCTCTGACCCAGGAAGTTTGGCCTTATGTAGACGGGGAGTATGTGATAGCCTTCGCCGTGGAGCCCTGTAATCATGGCACTGACGTTGCCTTGCATGATTACTGGTTTCTGAGCGGGACGTGTGCCTGGATGCTAGGCCTGCAGAGCCGCCTCGTCAGTCTTCTGCACTCCCAGTCATCTGCCAGGCTAGCTGGGAAGCTCCAGATGTGGCCCTTCATCATCGGTCTCCCATCATACTTTCCTAGTCACGTGCTGGCCTACCACTCCCCACTCCTGGCTAGATATTGTGACCGAACAAGCACCTGCTATGTGCCAGGCACTGTGCTTGGTGCTGGGGAGATGAGTAAAGAAAGGCAGACGGCACCTGCCTTCAAGAGGAGCCCAGGTAGGGCAGGAGGGGAGCCAGGGACGCCCTTTTCCACTATGGCATTGTGCCTTTGCCAAGGCTCTCATCTGACTTCTGCTCCTTGGAATCCCACACATGACCGGTTCTCTCCAATACACGTTTCTCTGTGTGACAAGTACCCCAGCAGAATGTAAGGCCCTTCCGAGGAGGGACAGGGAGAGGGCAGAGAGTGTGGACATCCATTCAGCATCTCCTCCCTGCAGGCCCTGGGCTAGTGGTTGAAAGTGGAGGAGGGGCAGATGTTATGCCCTTCTCTATGAGCCTCCTCTGATGCCTGGCTCCTCCAAGGCTCCCCAGCCCAGGGACAGTGGGGACAAGGGGGCCTTGGGCAAAGCGTCCCAGAGCTCCCACAGGCCAGCAGGGGATGCCTGAGCAGAGGACCCATGCCCCATCCTTCCCTTTATGACCGTAGGGCTTGGCCCATAGCAACAGCTCACTGCGTGCTTTCATGCAATCAGTGTCCTCATTGGGAGTGAGACCAAGGAGCACACAGGGGTATAAGCAATGACTCGAGGCTTTCTCCAGAACTGAGTCAGTGGACATTGTGTCATCGTGTGCCAAATGCACCAGGTCCTCAGTCTTAGGAGCTGTGGGCATCTATAGTGGCTGTGCACATTGTGAACATGAGCACGTGGATCTGAGGCTCAACATTTGCCACAAGGGCAGAAAAACTAGGGAACTGTCCAAAGAGCTTGACCCGCTCTTTGAACTCTGTGTGCATGCATCTGGAGATACTGCTGATTCTCTGTGACTTTAGTGGAAAAACAGGCAAAAGTTGTCTGCAAATGGTTTATGATGAAGGGAATCAAAGGGGCCTGAGGCTCATGGATACTCCTCCCTGGATCTTATGAATTCTTTTTCAAGAAGAGAGTTTGAAGTCCTTGTACACAGGGAATTCTAAACACCACAAAAAATTAAATGGGGTTTTTTCTGAACCGACAGGAAGTAATGGGGCTGCTAGATAACAGTCTGTCTGAAAAGGATCTGTGGGTCTGTATGGATGCTAGCTCACTGAGCAGTGGGATTTGGTAGCCCAAAACCAAAGGCCATCTTTAGCTGCAAGACAAGATGGGTGGTATTGAGAACTGGGGAGGGAAGGAGCTGGTTGCCTGCCCTGGGAGGGCCAGACGCCACCTGGAGCACTGAGTTTAGTTCTGGGCACAGAGGGGGAGAAGAGCACCAATAAGCAGGGCACTGACTGCAGGAGGGTGACCATGTCACAGAACTGGCTGACAGATCTGGAGACAAGCGCAGTAAATGGGGTCATCCCGGCTGTCTTTGAAGGGGAATCTCACCTGTTCTTCCTGACCTCTGCCTAGGACCACAAGGCTGGAAGACTGTCCTGGGGGGGCTGTGCCACAGGCCCCCTTCCCATGGCTGGCAGCCTCTCCTCAGAGGCAGGACGGTTTGTGCTGGGCACTGCCTTGCTCAGGTATTGGATGGCTGCCATGGTAGCTGCTTGATGGTACATAATGTCAAAGCCTGATATTTGTGTGCAGTTGAGTAGTGAGGATGCAGATCTAAGTGCCAAAGGGAGAAAGAATGAGAACGATAAAAATGAAAAGGCCACTGAGCAATTGTGCCAGCGTCAACTAGCCACCGACCCTGGACCACGAGCCTGATTTTAAAGGCAGTGATTCCATGAGATGAAAGAGACCAGGGATGACAGTAAGTCACCCTGACTTAGAAGAGACCTGCGGCTGTCTTCAGAATGCCCATGCAAATGTGTGCGTATGTCTTCAGGGCATTCTGGATGCAGTAATGAGATGGGAACAGGCAGACAGGTGCAGACTGTTTTTCATGGTGCTTCACACCTTTGGAGTCCTACAGGTGACTGAAAAGTGGGGAATACAAAGTGCTATTCTAGCTGTAGGTTGGTAGTTGCTCCAAAATCTCTTGACTTGGAATCTGGAAGGTGTCTTCCACGCATATATTTGCAGCAGAAGAAATTCCTGCAGAGGATATTGGGTTGCTGGCTCCTACTGGGTTCTTGCCCTCACCAGGTTCTCCAGGCCCTTGGGTTTTGGTCCCATCATACCATGCCTTGTAGGCACCATATTCCTCTGCTTTGTGCGGGCTGGAAGCGCCTCACGGGCAGGCACTGGTTCATTTCCCTGCCTTCTCAGGGCTGCTCCCAGAGCCTGGCATTTAGTTTAAGTTGAAACTTCTTTGAGGTCAACCTAAAAGTTACACAGAAGTGTCATCCCAAGTATAAGCCCCTACTTTGGAGTGGTTTTTACCCGCTCGGTATCGAGAGGGCTGACCTGCTTTTGCTGTCAAAGCCCAGTGGTCCAGGATCTGGAGAATATGGGGAGAAGGGAAAGGCAACAGAGACATGTGTCATAGGCCTTATTGGCGAGATGCCGGGCCTCCAGATACAGCTTTCCTCACTCCCCCATCCGAGGCCTTCTGCCCTCTTTGCCCAAGTCTCTGCTGAGGACAAGACCAGGAGCAGCCAATAAGAACTTTAGAGTCAGAAGGCCCCCTTTCCTTGGTCATCTCCTGAGAAGCAGTCTTCTACCTTTAGAGATCCCAGGCCCAGGCCCATGGTGACAGGCTTGCCAGAGGCCCTGAGGTTGGGGCTCAGCAGAAGCTTTTGTCTGCTCATCTGACATACTTGTGGGCCCGATTGTTTCTGAGGCCTGCGGAGTCATCTGAGTGATAAACACTGGCCTTCCAGGGCATGGCCCTCTGGCCCATTGGGCAGTAGGAGGCTGGAGGATATAGCATGACCTACAGAACAGCGTTTCACCGTCTTTACAATGTAGGATGCTTACACTCTGGGTCTCCAGAGGATGACCTGTCTCAGCCTTCTGAGGATGGGGCTGCTTGTACCCTTGGACTAGCCATCCTAGCCCTAAGGAGGTTAGTGTTGGGAAGAAGGCCCCATGGACCCCAGGACATTCAGAGCAGCTCTTGGGGGAGGCAGCCAAACCTGGAAGTCTGATGGGTGCCCATAGGCAGGGGCATAGCCATGGGAAATGAAAAGCATAAGGGAATCTGGGAAACATTTAGGAAGCGATGTGGAATGCCCCCAGCAGAGCCAAGAGAACTTAGCTACCACCAAAATGCAAAGGAGGGTATCAAATGCTGGCTCAAAATAGAAGAACAACTCTGCCCACGGCTCTTTCTCCCTCAGTTTCCTTCACTGTGAAGCAGGGTGGGGTGGGGGGTGGGGGAGTCGTTGTGAAGGTCCAGTGCACGTAGTAGGTGCTTCCTACCTGCTCATTGCTTCCCCTTGGCACCATCAGAGAAGGTCGGCTTGTTGAGGCCTTTTACAGAGCTGTCTGCACTTACTGCCTTGCTTTTTCTCACGCTTCTTTAAGACCTTGACAGTCTGGCTCCAGCCTCATCGCACTGAAACTGTTGTCTCCACACTTGCCAAATCCAGTGGCCTTTTCTCAGTCCACAGTCTCCCTGACCTCTCTCCAGCTTTGACACTGGTAGTCAGTCTCTCCTCCTCCATCCTTTCTCTTAAGTTTTCAGAACACATCTTCTCTCCTGGTTCTTCTACCTGGCCAGCTCCTCTTTCTCTCTCTCCTCTGCTGGCTTCTCTTCCAGGTCATGGCCACTAACCGTGGGTGTTCCCCAAGGCACATGCGCTCAGTGACCTCCTCAGCTCCTGTGGACTCAGTCTCTATGCATACTTCCAGCTCTAGGGGGTCTCCTGAGCTCTAGCCCCACATCACCAACTGTCTGTGAGGCATTTCAAACTGGAATTCCCAGGGACATCTCAAATTCAGCCTGTCCAGAAATGAATGCATCCTATCTTTCCCAAAACCCATTGATCTGAGGCAGGATTAGGGACAGGAAGAGATCAAGAAATGTCTGTGATTTTTTTTTTAAAATCCTACAGAAGTCAGCCATTAAAAAAAAATGGGAGTGCCTGGTACCTGTTGCCCTTAAATGAGCTGATGATGTTGGCTTCACCCCCCTGGCCATGGGGTTAGAACTCTCCACAGCCTAAGTGGTGTCCCAAGGCTCAGTGCCTGCTTTTCTGGCTATGGAAGCCCAGTTCTGTAGCTAGGAAGAGAGAGGGGTCCAGGCAAGAGCTCTGGATTGGGGTTTGGACCTGTGTTCTAATGCAGCGTTTTGTGCAATGGTGGGGATATTTCACTAGATGGCCTCCAAAGTCCCTTCCATCCCAGGACTGTGACCCTATGGTGGGAGACAGAGAAGGGGTCCAGGAGATAGTACCTGAGCCCTCCTCCCTGTGAGACCATCAGGCAAAGCCTGTTGGTAGAGCCCTCTCCTAGTTGTGACAGCTGTGACCCAGCTCATCATGCAGCCAGAGGTCCACCTACCTGTGTAGTGCACCACACAGGTCTGGCCCTTCTTGGGAAATGTCCTTCCTGTGGGGAGACAAAGATAGGGGCCTCAGTCTGGGCTGGGCATCGGGGTCACTAGAGCTAGGGCACTAGGCAGACACAGGGGACCTGTGAGCCAGAACCCTCTTCTCTGTGGATCAGTGGGCTGAGATAGGGGTGTGTGTGTGTGGGGGGGGGAATCTGCATCCTGGATGGCATGGGCGGATGCACGGGGGGGGGATTCTGAACTTTGGCCATGGGGCCCTCTGAGCTGTAAGAGGAGGGTCTTTTGGAGCTTTGACCTGTAGCAAGGCCAGGGTCTGCTCAGCCTCCCAGGGCATCTTCCTGCTCCCTCCCTTCTCTCCTCCCCTTTCTCCCAGTCTTCTTCCCCTTCTCCTGATCCTCTCCTCCTCTTCTTTCTCTCCCTCCCCACCCCTCTTCCTCTCCCTCCTCTCCCTTTTCCCTCTCTTCCTCTCTCCTCCTCCCCCTCCCCCTTCTCCCAGTCCTCTTTCCCTCCTCCTGATCCTCCCCCACCCCTCCTCCTGATCCCTCTCCTTCCTTACCCCTTCTCCTTTTTGCCCCCTCCTTCCCTTCTCCTGGGCCCCCTCCTCCCTCTCATCCTCTGACTCCTCCTCTTCTCCCTTCTTCCTCCCATCCTCCCGGTCTTCCTCCTCCTCCGCTGCCCCAGACGCACCATCTCCTGGGGAGATGGTCTCAATCTCCACGCCCATCAAGACCCCGTCCCCCTGGGCCCCAGGGTCGCCACCAGTCGCCGTCTCTGCCTCTGCTGCCGCCACCGCAGCTGCTGCCGGCCGGCCTCCGGGACTCCGCCCCGGCCAGCCAACCCGTGGCCAATGCGGTGATTCCCTCCACCCCTGGAGCCCGGGAAGGCGGGGCTGGCGCTCCCTCCCCCCACCTCCGACCCCCCCCACCCCTGCCATCGGGGAGCGAGGATGCACTGCCTGGCCAGGGGGCGAGAGCAGATGTGCCGCACGTGGCAGGCGGGCCCCCCAGCCTCGAGCCCCCTCAGCCTAGCAGCGACGCTGACTTGGGGCAGACTCTGTGGGAGCCTGCACCCCCCTCCCCCATCCCTTTCTTTACTGTCCCTGGGAAGAAGCCTCAGTTAGCCCCTCCGAGTTCAGGATCGGCCTGACCCCTTGGAGGAGGTCTTGGTGAGAGGAAAGTGCTTTGTCAACCTCAGGGCGCTATGCCAGTGGACCAGGCCATTCTTTGCTCTATTTCTTGTCAAGGCATCAGAATCCTGAGCTGCTGTGTGAGGACTGGGGTCTCCAAACCAGCACCCAAGATGTGTTCTAAAGCATAGAATGGCAAAGAGGGTCACAATCTTGACTCTGAGGCTGGCAGGGAGCCCATTTCCCCAGCCCCACACCGTGCCATGCCCAGCTCTCCTGCCGCCTCCCTCCAGGGTGGCCGCAAAGGCCTTCTCACTGATTCTATTAAAGGAAACAGCCTCACAGGATCGTAGTAATCTCCCAGATAAGCCTCATGTCAGCAGCCCTCCATGGGTCACAAGATCCTCCTTGAGGCAGGCCCCAGTGCCCTGTCCCCTTGACTGTCTGGCCCTGGAGCTGGGAGGGAGCCTCTTGCTCACCCAATTTAACCCCCTCCTCTGTAGATGAGGGACCTGGGGTCCAGAATACAAGAAGCACTAGTCCCACGTCACTCAGGCCAGCGTGTCAGAGTTAGGGTTCACCCCCAGCATCCCTTCTGTCTCTCCAAGATGGCTTTGAAGCGTTTTGTGGTTTTAAAGAATGAAATGCAGAATATTTGTGTAATACCAGTTGCAAAGCTTGGTGCCTCACGCTGGGGATACCAAAAAGACATGAGTCACAAGCCCTGCTGTCCAGGGGAATAGGCAGAAGGTAAGCACTCCAGAGGGGAATGAGAGAAGGCTTCTGAAAAGTGGGAGGGGGGAGGTGTGATCCCTGTCATCCTGGGGAGTCAGGGCAGGTTTCATGGAGGAGGCAGCACTAGACTGAAGAGTGGGAAAGACTTTGGCCACAGAGAAGAGAGACACTCCCCATTTTGCTGGGAGAGTAGACTGATTGCCACTAGAATATGGAAGGCTGTGGATGCCAGGCTGAGCTAGTTGTTAAGTAGGGAGGGAGCAACTGGAATCTGAGCTGAGGAGATCAAGGACTGGGGTAAGACTTTAGGAAGGGACCCTGAAGATGGAAGGAGGAGGAGCTTTCTCAGGCCTGTGGCCATGCCCAGTAGGGCAGACGCTCAAGAAGCATTTTTATCATCCCCCCACATACATGTACACTCATGTGCTCACACATACACGCACGTGCACGTACACATATATGAGCACACATGCATGCACATATGACTCCCGCTAGTCCCAGAGAGCCCGAGCTATTCCCTCACCTGTCCACAAAGGGGCCCCTCTGCTCTGGACTCTTACAGGACCTGACCTCAAAAGATTTTCCCCAAGAAGAGTCATGGAAAGCTTAGATTTGGCCCCTCTCCAGGATCTCCTTGGCTGCTTGGTGGCACAATGCATAGAATTCTGGCTCTGGAGTTGGGAAGACCTGAGTTCGAATTCGGCCTCAGACACTCAATAGCTATGTTACCCGGGGCAAGTCACTTAACTTCTGTCTGCCTCAGTTTCCCCAACTGTAAAATTGGGATAACAACAGTAACCTGCCTCCTAGGGTTATTGTGAAGATCAAATGCGGTGACATTTGTGAAATACTTAGCATAGTGCCTGGCACACAGTAGGCATTTAGATGCTTATTCCTTCCCCTTCCCTTAAAGAGACTCAATGGACAAAGAAAGTCATGTATAGGATAGCTATTTATTTCCTCCTTATAGAGATTCATGAAACAATAACCTAACTGCTCTTATGTGCGCTCAGGAGGTTGATACTTAATGTCTCAGAACATGTTACATTTTGCAAGACTGCTGAGCGGGCACGTCGCCTTCAGGGCCGGTATCTTCTGGCAAACTCAAATTTGGACCATCATCCTCTTGGTGGTTTTCTTCTTCTTCATTCATTTATTTTGATTTATCAGCAATCACTTCCAGAAGCTTTTGAGTTTTAAATTTTTCTCCCCCTTCCTCCCCACCACCCTCCCCAAGACGGCGTGCAATCTGATATAGGCTCTACATATACATTCCTATTAAACTTTTTCACATTAGTGATGTTGTAAGGAAGAATTAGAACCAATAGGAGGAACCATCAGAAAGAGGAAACAAAACACAACAGAGGAAAAAAAAGCCAATAGTATGCTTCGATCCACATTCAAATTCCATAGTTCTTTCTCTGGATGTGGATAGCATTTTCCATCACGAGGCTTTTGGAGATGTCTTAGATCCGTGTATCGCTGGGAAGGGTTAAGTTTATCAATATTAGCCATCACACAACGTGGCTGTCCTCTCTGCAGGGTATGGGGTCTGATTGTCCTCCTTGGGGGCGGGGCCAGGTTGAAACAACAATCACAGAACCTTACGTAGTGCGCCCCCCCCCACCTCCCCAGCACCCCGGAAAGATTGCAGAGCCCTCGCTTCCCGTGCATTCAGTCGCTCGAACCTCAGTACAGGCAGGTACTTATCTGACCACTGCTACCTGTGCCCTTCGGGAGGAGGGCTGCCGTCCCCCTAGCACCCTGGAGGGCTCGCCCCTTCCCTGCCCGATGTCCGATCTGAGTATCTAGGAGGGCCCCAGAGGTGCCATTGCTGCTGCCCCGCCCCCATTGGCCTGAACTGAGTCAGAAGCTCTCGGCTTCAGTTCAGTTCTGCCACTCCTTGGGCGTGGCCAACCACGAGGAAAGCAGTTGTAATGTGGGAAGCATCCATCCCGAAGCACCAGGGAAGTGCTCCCTTGTGCGGGAGCCCCTAGCTCTAGGGTCAGCGCCCATTACTCGACCCGTCTCATTCGACCTTTTCTCTGGCACAGAGTAGGCGCTTGTGGATGGAAGCCACCTTCCCTCTCTTTAGACACGGGCTGTCCCAGTGCCCAGAACGCCCTTCCTCCTCACCCCTGCCTCTTGGAACCCCTCATTTTCTTCAAGGCTTAGTTCAAGGGCCCGCTCTTTCCAAAGGCCTTTTCCTAACCTCCAGCGCCCGGGATTGGTCGCCCTCTGCCCCCAGAAGAGCTAACTTTGTATCCATTTTCTCCTGTGGTTACAGTTTGTAACCAAGTGTAGCGCAGAACCTGTCCCTGAGTAGGAGTGTAGCGCCGGTTCAGTGGAATGGCATTGAATAGGAAATGAGGCTCTGCTGTGACTGGTGAAGTCAGGCATGGCCCTGGTCAGATAGGGCAGTTCAGCCCCCTTATGTCCTCTGAATCTGGCCCCAGTTATGGCCATTCAGGGCCTGCCTAGACGGTGTTAGAAGACTAAGAAGATGGAGGGATGGTGCAGTTCTTAGAGCGTCCCAGAGTGTAGCAGCGTTTGGCAGGACTGTCCTCTCCTTTAAAGCAACCTGTGCCCTAAGAAAATGGAGCTATTGGTGATCTGGCGGTGGGATTAAAAAGGAAACCTTTTACTCCTAAGATAAGGGTGATGCAGAAGGTCATGTGCCAGGCACTCTGCCAAGTGCTGGGGATTCAAAGAAAGGAACAATGCACGGTCCCCCTGCACACTGGGAGCTCACATGTTATAGGAGGAGACTGCAGACACCAGGGAAAAGCAAGAAACCTGCCAAGTGAATGGAAGGCCATCCCAGAGGGCTTTGCCCAAGGGCAAGACCAGAAGTCTGGATTGTGAGACCAGGGAAAGTCATCCAGCATAATTCTGTTTGGTGAATTCAAGAGCATTGGGAGCAGCAGAGCTCCGCAAACCACCAGATCTGTTTCCAGCCCAGCCTCCCCGCCCCCCCGTTATCATTTTTTTCTGATTTATTAATTTATTTTGATTTAACAACAATCATTTCCATAAGCTTTTCAGTTTTAAATTTTTCTCCACCTCCCTTCCCAAGATGGCACACAATCTGATATAGGCTATATATATATATTTACATTCCTATTAAACATATTTTCACATTAGTGATGTTATAGGGAAAAATTAGAACCAATAAGAGGAAACACAAGAAAGAGAAAACAAAATAAAATAGAAGAAAAAAATAGCAAACAGTATGCTTCAATCTGCATTCAAACTCTTTCTTTGGATGTGGGTAGCATTTTCCATCATGAGGCCTTTGGAGATGTCTTAGATGCTTGTATTGCTGGAAAGGGTTAAGTTTATCAATATTAGTCATCACACAACCTGGCTGTTACGGTGTACAATGTTCTCCTGGTTCTGCTCTCTTCACTCAGCATTAGACCATATAAGTCTTTCCAGGTTTTTCTGAAGTCGGCCTGCTCATCATTTCTTATACCACAATAGTATTCCACTACATTCATATACTGTAACTTGCTCAGCCATTCCCCAATGGATGGACATCCCCTCAATTTCCAATTCTTTGCCACCACAAAAAGAGCTGCTATAAATATTTTTGTATATATGTGTCCTTTTCCCATCTGTATGATCTCTTTGCACCTCCCCCCCCCACTCCCAGCCATTATTAAGGACAGAGAAACCCTGGCTGAGAAGAGGCTCCCCCTTCTACATTAGCATAAGCAGTGACTTCTGAGTAACCTGCACCACTAGGTACAGGAGCAGGGTTTAGGAGGGCTCTCCTCAGAGCCCTCCTCACTTTCGCCATCTCATCAGATGCCATGGATTCAATTTCACCTCCCTCTGGACTTTGGCAGTCGCTGCTAGGGTGGGAGGGTCTGCCTGCCTCAAGGCTCTCCCCTCTCCTGTGCATCCTCCATTCATCCATCAAAGGGATTTTGCTAAAGCACAGATCTGACCACAGCACTCCCTACTCTGCAGACTCCAATGGCTTTCTGTCAGCTCCAGGATTCAATACAAAAGTCTCTGTTGGGCATTCAAAGCCCCCTCCTCCCTTTCCATGACTTTCTTACACCTCATCCCTAATGTGTGCTCTTTGATCCAGTGACATTGGCCTCCTGGCTAACATTCCATTTTCCACCTCCAGGCATTTGCTCTGACTGTGCTGCATGCATGGAGCACTCTCCCTCCTCCTCTCTGCCTCCTGGCCTCCCTGGTTTCCTTCAAGTCCCAACTAAAATCCCATCTTCTGCAGGAGGTCTTCCCCAGCCCCTCTTCATTCTAGTGCCTTTCCTCTGTTCATTATTTTTTATCTATCTGGTCCATACCTTGTTTGCACAGAGTTGTTTACATATTGTCTCCCCCCCTTAGACTGTGAGCTCATTGAGGGCATGGACTGTCTTTTGACTCTTTTTGTCTCCCTAGCACTTAGCACAGTGCCTGAGAGTGGACACTTTATCATTTCTTGTCCTTAGTTTCGAAAGGACCAAAATGACATCAGTCTGTTAGAACTAAGTTTCAGTGTGGCTGACTGTGGCTGATCAGACCAATGCAAGTTCAGAATGTTCTACCACAGGTGGGGCACAAATAGTTTATGTGAACCTTTGGGGTGGATTTTCTAAATTTGCGCATCTTGTGCTTCTTCTGAGCTGTTTCAATTCTGCTTTGCTCACAGAACACAGCACCTTCTCTGATGAGGGCATGCCGTGCTGGGCGTCCTGTGCCAGGGTCTCCCATGTCACACCATCAACTCCCAAGCTCTTCAGAGAGGCCCTGAGCGTTGTCCTCACGTTACTTCTTCTGACCACCATGTGAGCGCTTGCCCTGTGTGAGTTCTCCGTAAAATAGTCTTTTTGGCAAGCGCACGTTTTGCATTGAACAGCGCGGCCTGCCCATTGCAGCTCCACTCTCTGAAGCAGAGTCTGAATGCTTGGCAGTTCAGCTCCAGAAAGGAGCTCAGTGTCTGCCACTTACCCTGCCCGGTGATCTTCAGAGTGGACACTTAATACATGTTTATTGATTGACTGACATACACTTTTCAAAACCTACATAACTGAGGTTGAGTTTCTTAGACAACACTCTTTTCTGTTTGTATATTGAAATGTTCAGATTTGTTGCTATTTGTTAAGTTCATAATTTAAAAAAAGAAAATTTAAGGAAGAAAAATAGTTCAAGACTCCATAGAGTAATGTAGACAGTGGAGGAAGGGGCTAGCTAAGCACTAAAATCTCCTTGGATCCTCACAACAGCCCTCTGGGATAGTTGCTATTAGGATCCCCATTTTACATCGAAGCTAAGGCCTGGGGAGGGGGGCAGAGAGGATAATGAGTGTGGGTTAGGGACTGCTATCAGGAGGAATTCTGAGACTTCAGTGCCCCCTGCCTGGGCCGGCTGGGCTCCTGCCTTGTCCTAGGAAGAGAGAGGGAGCTTCTTCTTGGGTTCTGTCTTCCCTTCCAACATTGAAGATGGCCCCAGGCCAGAGAGCCAGCAGGCTCCGGGGGGCCCAGTCTGTCCTCTCCTAGAGCGGTGTATGAAATAGGAAGGCTTGGGTTTTTGTGACTTGTCTTAGGGATGCTAGGAAAGTCACACCTGGGTCTGAAACGTTGATCTATTTCCTTTTCTCTATAATAACGTGACATCTAACATTTCACAGCATCCACCTAATGAAAGTTAGCCCACTACTGCATGGCAGCAGACCCATGGTCTGCACCTGGGCCCCTAAAGTGAGGCCAGGGAACTGTCTTTTCATAATAAATCATTCCCAAGGGACCAGGGACTCTTGTTCAACCCCCTGCTCTGGCAAGCAGTTTCTATCCTTCTGGTGTCTTCGTGTTTGGAATTAGAGTTAATCAATGATCATTGTAAGGACATGCCTGCCTGCTGTCTGCAGGCACTGTTGAGGTAAGGAGGCGCTAGGCTTGGTCCCTTGCCAAGGTGACTGCGTGCTGAAGGATCCAGATGTGGGGCTCCAGGTGGGCTTTAGTGCTATTGGAAAGATTGCCAGGAAGTTGTGAGCAAGCTCGGCTTTGGAGCTAGAAGAGACAGATCCAGAGGCATCAGACATGGAGCCTTCAAATGTAATTGGGAAATGATGAAAAAAAGCTACATTAGCACATAGATAATATTATTAAAATGTGGCTGTACAGAGCCTTCCTCGCTTCTGTTGGAGTTTGGCACCCCTGGCCTAGCAGGGCAGGGACTTGCCCAGGGTCACTCGGCCACTGGACAAGAGGCAAGGTCCAGGAATCAGAGGCCACCCCCAGCAGGGTCAGCACCAAACTGGGAGCAGGGAGGGTCTCCCTGTCCAGAGACTCTGCCCCTGAGTTTTGGGGACTTCTTCACTGTTGGTCTTCTCTGTGATTTCAGGTACTGTCTAATAGGAAGGATGGACTTGGGGAAAGGCAAGCTTCTCAGGACGGGCCTCAATGCCCTGTACCAGGCAGTGCATCCCATGCATGGCATCGCCTGGACTGACGGGAAGCAGGTTGTCCTGACAGCGCTGCAGCTGCAGAACACAGGGCCCACATTTGGAGACTCAAGGATCATGGGGCAGTTTGAACACGTGCACGGGCTGTCCTGGGGTCCCCCAGGGGTAGCGGGTAGCCCCACCCTGCTGGCGGTACAGCACAAGAAGCACATCACTGTGTGGCAGCTGTGCTCGAGCCTCTCGGAGAGAAGCAGGCTGCTGGTGTCCCAGACGTGCGAGATCGGGGAGCCCTACCCCGTGCTCCCCCAGGGCTGTGTGTGGCACCCCCAGAAGGCGATCCTGGCTGTGCTCACCAGCCGCGACGTCTCTGTCCTCCACTCGGTGCACCATGACAGCTCCCGGGTGAAGGCCGACCTGGTCAAAGTCCAGGGCTTTGTGCACTGCGCGTGCTGGACCCGTGACGGTCAGAGGCTGGTGGTGGCTGTGGGCAGTGCCCTGCATTCTTTCAGGTGGGATGACTCCCAGAAGACTCTGCACGCGTGCTCTTTCTGCCCGGTGTTTGATGTAGGCGGTCACATCTGCTCTGTGCTGGCCACTGCGGACATGCAGATCGCTGTGGCCACTGAGCTCCCCCTGGACAAGATCTGTGGCCTCCACTCGATAGAAGCCTTTGAGATGTCGACTGCAGAGGAGACACAGCCCTCGCCCTCGTCCCTGGCCGGCGTCACAGAGGAGCCCCCTGTGGACCCCGGGAGAGCGTCCCCCGACTCGGAGCCGTCCTCCTCGTCCGCCTCCTTCTCATCTTCCTCCCTGGACTCGGGGAATCTCACGCCGATGCCCCCCGGGAGCCGTCGATACGACTCTGGCTTACTCTTCCATCTCCGAGAGAAGGGCTGCCTCTCTGGGGCTGGCCAGGACTCCTCCCATTTGGTCCTGGTGACCTTCGATAGGACGGTCACCACCACCCGGAAGGTGGGTGTCCCTGGTGTCCTGGTGCCGGACCTGCTGGCCTTTGACCCCAAGTCTCAGGTGGTGGCCGTGGCCTCCAACACGTGCCACGTCATTCTGATTTATTCCCTGAGCCCCTCCTCGGTGCCAGGTGTCCAGTGCATCCAGCTGGAGACCTGTGAGAGGCCCAAGGGCATCTGCTTCTTGTCAGACAAACTACTCCTGATTTTGGTGGGGAAGCAAAAGGTCACAGACCCCACTTTCCTTCCCTCCTCCAAGTCTGACAAGTACACCATTCGCTTGGTGGTCAGGGAAATCACCTTCGAGGGAGAACCCTCCTGGAAGTCTGACTGGAGCCAGCGAGATTTCTGCAATGTCAGTGCGACACTGGGCTTGACCAGCAAGAGGAAGTTAGGAGAGAGCCACTGCCCCGTCTACTACCCGCAAATGAGAGAACTCCTCATCCCCGGAAAGCTCCCCATGCAGCCTCTGGCTAGCGGGAAAACCTTGATTGAGGAAATCACAGTTGCTCCAGGGGCCCAGAGCCCCAGACGCAATGCCGCACTGCTGAGCAAGCCCACGCCAGCCACTGACACCGCTGCCTCTGTGGAAGGGCTGGAGGCTGCGTCTGGCCCCTGGTGCTCAGCTCCACTTGACCCTGATGCTGGGCCAGGCTCTCCCAAGACCCAGTGCCGCCTGATACACGAGCCCCTAAACCTTCCCCAGGACAAAGTCTCCATGAAGGAAAAGGAGGACAGGCGGCTCTCTGGGGTACTGGAGAGGCTGTCTGGGAGCTTCATGGACCTCCGCCAGCGCCTCTTGGAGCTCATAGACCTTCTGCACAGGAAGGAGCAGCCTCCGTCCCCCAGCACCTACCCGCTCTCTCAAGACCCATCTTTTCTTCTCATCACCTGTCAGGTAACCGAGAGTGGCTTCACTGTCCCCGAGCCTGCCCTCTAGAGCTAGCTGTGGGTGTGCCAGGGCCGGGGTCTCTTCTGAAAGGTCCAGTTAAGCTTTGAAACCCTGGGCCTGGGCTCCACGGCTTGGGGTGTTTTCATGATTAATTCCTGTATGCAGTGGATGGATTCGGCTTCAGTTGTCGATTTGGAGTGATGTTTATACTGCTACTTAAATTCATGAGTCAGTAAGACTGATTGCATTCTCTAGTTAGGATGTCACCTTAATAATTTTCCCCTCTTCATTTCTTTTGTTTACTTGTTTGGCAGGCTGGGAGGAGGGCTCCTGATGCCCCCTGTAGGTCTTTGGGTCCACTCCCCTCCCCCAAAGCAGAGTGCACTTTCGTAAAAGGCTTTAAGGTTTGCGAAGCACTTTATGGATGTCATTTTACTTGGTCCTCATTGTTAACTATTAGAGACTATTTAAGTCAAGTTAAATGTGTGGTTTTGTTTGTTTTTTTTTTTAATAAAAAAGAGGGGCTATTCCCGTTGGGCCAGCATGAGAAATGTTAGGTTATAAAATGCACTCTCTTTACCTTCTCTTGTTTCTTCCCTCGGGAAAAGAACAGAGAGCTCACTAAGAGCTCATTTGGTTGGGGGGAGCAAATCCCTAAGAGCTCACCTGGGGGGTGAATACCTAAGAGCTCACCTGGGGGAGGGAGCAAATCCCTAAGAGCTCCCCTGGGAGGGGTGAATACCTAAGAGCTCACCTGGGAAGGGGGGAGCAAATCCCTAAGAACTTACTTTGGGGGGGGTGAATACCTAAGAACTCACCTGGGGAAGGAGGGGCTGGGCAGGAGCCTATGGAGGAGAAGGTGGGGCACACCACACTCTGACCAGGAGAGGAAAACATTCTTTCAAGTCAGTTTCTTTGAAATGGTCTTTCTGTAGTGTTGTTTCCACCCAAAAAATACTAATTTTTGTGTGTGTCAAAATATGGCTTAAATGTTTTAAAGTTACTTTTTAGAAATCCTCATCTTTTCTCTTTATGGCCTTCACGGCAGTTGCCTGATGTCTGTTCCTTGCTTGCCCTTCCCCCATTCTGGGTCCCGAGGTCTGTTTCCAGGCAGAGGCTGAAGTTGGAGACTCTTAGTGAGGTCAGAGGTTGCTCCCCGAGGGGGGCCTGGCCTGGGCTGCCGCTCCCCTGGCGGGTGGGGTTTCCTAGCCCTGGCACCAGGCCTGGTGTGGCCTGCAACGGGTTGGTGATGGTGCCACAGAGGAGGAGGAGGCCCAGGCCTCATGGCGGTTATTGTGGGGTAACAGATTCTGTCCTTGGGCTTGAAGAAGCCATCCCCCGCAGGGCCCGTGGTGGACAAGAGAGCGGTACTTCTCTGTGATGGCAAGGTGCGCCTGCAGACGGTCCAGCAGGTGTTTGGCCTCTCTCTGGTGGAGATGCAGCATGGTGAGTCAGTCTGGGGCTGGGGAGGGCTTCTGGGAGCGCTCTCTGGGCTCCACGCTCCCAAAAGGCGGGTCTGGGGGCAGGGGCTGAGATGGCCTTCTATCCGTCACCCAGTAAGTATTAAGCACCTGCTGTGTGCCAGGTAATTTGGGATGCAAGACCAAAGAATGGAGCAGTCCCCACTGGGGTGGACCTTCCCTGACCAAACATGTATGTGCATGCACATCCGCCCATCCGCCTACTGCATGAGCAGGTAGTTGGAGCCACCTGCACTCAGGTAGGCTGTGATAGACACAGCGGTTCAAGAGGGAGGGGCCTAGTAGTTTCAGGGGGGTCAGGAAGCCTTCATGTGGAAGGTGGGACCTGAGCAGCAATTGGGGAGTGAGGAAAAAGATGGATTCTGAAGAAGGGAGGAGAAAGGCCAGTGCCCTGGAGGCGATAGGGAGACCGGATGTGATTGCTTAGGGGTATGATGTCAGGTGTGTTAAGGAAAGCCACTTTGGCAGCTGAGCAGAGGATATTTCTAGTGGGGAGAGCCTGGAGGCAGGGAGCCCAGTGAAGAGGCCCTTGCATCATCCCAGGTGGGAGGTGAGGGCCTGAACGAAGGGGTGGCTGCGTGGGTGAAAGAAGGGTCAGACGTGGGAGGCGGACGAGGCACAGGGTGGCAGTTACTGGAAGTGCAGGGTAAGGGAACGTGAGGGATAATACAGGGGCTCAGAACCTGAGACACTGGTGGAAGATGGTGCCTTGACAGAAAGAGTCAAGTTTGGACTGTGGGAACACAGATTAGAAATTAATTGGAGACAAAATTACCTATTTTTTTTGGGAGGGGGGGGCGGGAAGCCGAGGCAATTGGGGTTAAGTGACTTGCCCAGAGTCACATAGCTAGTAAGTGTTATGGGTCTGAAGTCGGGTTTGAACTCAGGTCCTCCTGACTCCAAGGCCGGTGCTTTATCCACCGTGCCACCTAGCTGCCCTCAAGATAACCTAATTTTTAAGAACAGGTTATAGAAACAATAATTTCATTGAAGAGAATAGCAATAATGAGACAATGTACCAACACCTATGGAATACAGCAAAAGCAGAAATCATAGGAAAATTTATATCTCTAAATGTTTGCATCCATAAAATTGAGAAAGAACAAACCAATGAATTGGTGTGCAATTAAAAAAAAAAACTAGAAAAAGAACAAATCAAAAATCCCCAATTAAACACCTGATTGGAAATCCTAAAAATTAAAGGCAAGATTAATAAAGCTGAATGAAAGGAAACCATTGAATTAATAAATAAAACTAAAAGTTGGTTTTATGAAGAAAAAAACAGTAAAATAGATATTCTTGGTTAATTGATTAAAAGAAAGACAGAAGAAAGCCAAATCAGTAGTATCAAAAATGGAAAGGGTGACTACATCACTAATGAAGATGAAATCAAAGCAGTTATTAGGAGTTATTTTGCCCAATTGTATGCCAATAAATAAAACAATTTAAATGGAAGTAATGTAAAAATACTTACAAGAATATATAAGCTGCCTCAATGAACAGAAGAGGAAATAGAACGTCAAAATAAGCCTATTTTAGAAAAAGAAGTTGAACAGTCTATAAATGAGCTTCCTTAGAAAAAAGCAACAGGACCAGATAGATATACAAGTGGATTCTACCAAACATTTAAAGATCAACTAATTTTAATGTTAAATAAATTATTTGGAATAATAGGTAAAGGAGTCCTAACAAGAGCAAAAATAAACTAAGAAAATTGTAGAGCAATCTCATTAATGAATATTGATGCAAAAATCCTAAATAAAATCCTACCAGGAGACTACAGCAGTATATCGTGAAGATTATATACACTGTGACCAAGTGGGATTTATACCAGGAATGCAGGGATGCCTTCAACATAGGATAACTATTAACAAAATTGATTACGTCAATGACAAAAAATAACAAAAATCATCTGATGATACCAATAGATGCAGAAAATGATTTTATAAAGTACAACACCCATTCCTATTAAAAAGACTTGAAAGCATAGGGAAAGCATCTACCTAAAGCCATCAGTGAGCATTGTTTGTAATGGGGATAAGCTAGAAGCCTTCCCAGTAAGGTCAGGGGTGAAGCCAGGATGCACATTATCATCAGTATTATTCAGTACTGCATTAGAAATGCTAGCAATAGCAATAAGAGAAGGAAAAGAAATTGGAGGAGTCAGAATGGGCACCGAGGTAATAAAACTTTCTCTTTGTACAGACAATATGATGATATACTTGGAAATCCTAGAGATTCAACTAAAAAGCTAGTTGAAACAATAATTTTAGCAAAGTTGCAGGATATAAAATAAATCCACGTAAATCATCAGCATTTCTATATATCACCAACAAAACCTTGCAAAAAGAGATAGTAAGAAATATTCCATTTAAAATGATGGTAGACATCGTAAAATACCTGGGAATATACCTGTCAAGACAAACCCAGGGACTCTGTGAACATAATTATAAAACTCTTTTTATACAAATAAAGTCAGATTTAAATAATTAGCACAATATTAATTGTTCATGGGTGGGCAGAGCCCATGTAACAAAAGTGACAATTTTACCTAATCTACTTATTTAATGCCATCCCAGTTAAATTACCAAAAAATTATTTAATTGAGCTAGAAAAAAATAAAACTCATTTGGAAAAACAAAAGGTTAGGAATACCAAAGGAAGGGCAGCTATGTGGCAGTGAATAGAACACTGGCCCTAGAGTCAGGAAGACCTGAGTTCAAATCTGGCCTCAGACACATGATACTCACTAGCTGTGTGACCCTGGGCAAGTCACTTAATCCGATTGCCTCACCCAAAAAAAAAAAAAGAATACCCAAGGAACTAATGAAAAAAATGTAGAGGTTTGGCAATACCACGTCTTAAACTATAATATAAGGCAGTAATTATCAAAACTATCTGGTACTGGCCGTGAAATAGAAAGGTGGATTAGTAGAACAGAGTAGGCATACAATACCCAGTAGTAAATGATTTTAGTAACCTTGTGTTTGATAAATGTAAATATTTGAGCTTTTGAAATAAGAATTCACCATTTGATTTTTTTTTTTTTGAGACAATCTGGGTTAAGGGACTTGCCCAGGGTCACACAGCCAGTTAAGTGTCAAGTGTCTGAGGCTGGTTTTGAACTCTGCTCCTCCTGACTCCACAGCTGGATCACTATTTGATTTTTAAAAAATTGTTAGGCAAACTGGAAAGCAGTCTGGCAGAAATTGGGTAAAGACCAATATCTTACACTATTTACCAAGGTAAGGTCAAAATAGATACATGACTTAGATATAAAGGGAGATATCATAAGTAAACTAGAACATGGAACATATTACCTATCAGACTTATGGATAGGAGAAGATTTTATTAATAAACTAGAGGTATAGAGCATTATGAGATATAAAATGGGTAATTTTGATTACATTAAATTAAGTTTTTGTACAAATAAAACCAATGTAGCCAAGATTAGAAGGAAAGCAGAAAATTGGGGGGAAGATTTTTATAGACAGTTTCTCAGATAAAGGTCTCGTATCTCAAATGTGTAGAGAACTTTTTCAAATTTATAATGAATCATGCCCCAACTGATAAATGGTCAAAGGACATAAACAGGCAGTTTTTAGATGAAGAAATCAAAGCTACATAATCACATAAAAATGCTCTACATCATTATTGATTAGAGAAATTCAGATTAAAACAACTTTGAGATACCATTTCACATCTCTCAGATTGGCTAAAATGATAGAGTAGGAAAATGACAAATGTTGGAAGAGATGTGAAAAAATTGAGACATTACTACACTGTTGATGGAGTTGAGAACTGGTCGAACCATTCTGGGAAGTGATCTGGAATTATGCCCAGAGTTATCAAACTGTCTACTCTTTGACCCAGCAACACGTGCATTCGGTCTGTTTCCTAAGGTTTTCGGGGGGAAAAGTAAAAGAACCTGTATGTTCTTAAATATTTATAGCAGCTCTCTTTGTGGTGGCAAAGGAATAGAAATTGCAGGGATGCCTGTCAGTCGGGGAATAGCTGAACAAGTTGTGGTGCATGCCTGTGTTGGAATACTGTGTGTGTGCTGTAAGAAAGGAGAAGCTCGTTGATCTTAGAAAACCATGGAAAGACGTGCATGAAATAAGGAAAAGTGAAATGAACAGAGAGCACCGTATACAGCAACAGCAATATTGTTCGAATGGCTCAGCTGTTCTGAGTCTTGTAAATATTCGAGTCAACCACAAAGGACCTAGGAAGAAAGAGAAAGAACTGATCAGTAGAAGTGTGCAGAGTGTGATGGTGCATATCTGCACATATTTCTGTCTCATGGTAGCCATGCAGAGGGCAGGGCAGGGGCAGGAGGGGCAAAAAGAGAAGGAAAAGCAGGTTGTGCATTGTAGACTTGTGGCTTATCTGCAGTCCTCTTTATTTTTCTATTCTGCTTTGTTATGGAAATGCTTGTTTTATTAAGTTCAGAATAAAAATAAAAAACTTCCAAGGACCTCTGAAGGAAGACGCGGTCACCTCCAGAGAAAGAACTGATCAATAGAAGTGTGCAGAGTATGGTTTTACATATGTTTATAAATCTGTATCAAATCGTGGCCTTCTCTACTTTGGAGTGGGGAGGGAGGGAGAGAGAGAGACAGTCTGGAACTTAAAATAGAACAAAAGAATAAATAAAATTAAAAAAAAAAGCAATAAGACAGTCTGGAAGAGGGAAACATGATTTGTTTGGGGCATGTCACATTTGAGGTGCCTGTGAGGCTTCCCATCTGAAAGTCCCATGGGAACTTGGTGATAGGGGATGGAAGCTCGGGGAGAGATGCCAGGGTGTCACCTGCAAAGAGATGACGATGTCACCAAGAGAGGGGAGAGGAAGAAGAGCAGAGGGCCCAGGAGAGAGCCCTGAGCACCACCCGCAGTCAGAGGGCACGATCTGGAGGAGGAGAATGGGGGAGGGAGCGTGTCCTGAGCACCTGGAGGGAGGAGAGAGTGACCAGCCGCGTCAGAGGCTGCAGAGAGGGAGCTCAGGGAGCATGAGGACTGAGAACAGGCCACTGGGTGTGGTCACTCGGAGGTCACTGGCCCCTTTGGACAGAGCAGTTTTGGTGGAAGGATGAAAACTGGATTACAAGAAGAGAGAAAGTGGAGGCCCCTAGTGTAGACGGCCTTTGGGAGTTTAGCCACGGAGGGCAGGTGAGATAGGGGACAATGACTAGCAGAGATGGAGTGGTCATGAAAGGATTTTTTCCGGACAGGGAGACCCGGGCATGGCTGTGGGTAGGTGGGAAGGAGCCACTGGAGAGTAAGAGACTGACAATAAGTGAGAGAGGGGATGGCGGAGGGGTCAGCCTTGGTCAGGAGAGGAGCCGCCTCATCCTGGGTGACTGCAGGAGATGAAGAAGAGAGGGCAGGAAGTGCAGTTGGCTGGGCAGACGCCTTTTTTATATTCTTTGTTTTTTTTTTTTTAGGCCATCGGGGTTAAGTGACTTGCCCACGGTCACACGGCTAGTTAAGTGTCAGGTATTTGGTCTGAGGCCAGATTTGAACTCAGGTCCTCCTGACTTCAGAGCCGGTGCTCTATCCACTGCGCCACCTAGCTGCCCCTGGTAGATGCGTTTTTCAAGGAGTTTGAGAGTGGGAGGAAGGGCTGGGACGTAGCTGGAGAAGATTTTTAAGACTGGAATGCGTGAGCAGTATGGCCGTGTGATGGTTTGCTGGAGAAGGGGGGAAGGAAGTGTGAATGCTTGTGTGAAGCGCCCTGACTCAGCCCTTCTCCCTCTCAGGCCTGGACCTTCCACTCGAAGCACCTCATTTCACAGATGGGGAAACTGAGGTCCCACAGCTCATAAGAGGCAGAGCCGGGCTCTGACCCAGCTCCTCTTCACATGGGCCAGAAAGCCTCAGGCTGACCCTTGAGACCTCTGCCTCTCTCCACTCCCACCAAGGGTGGCCTTGCGGGCCTTTGGGGGCAGGCCCCTGCCTCTGACTGTCTCTAGCCGTGACCAGAGGGTCTCGCTGAAGCGCCCGCGCCTCAGTTTGCATCAGGGAATTGTCATGACGTTCAAAAGTGATGGTGGGCGCCAGAAACGCAAGCAGCAAAGGGAAGCTGTCTTTGTTTTTGTGCACTCTGCACGGGCTAGGTGCTGCCTGGCACAAGGCGTGTTTGTAGACGGGGTTCTCAAGGGGCTCCAGGCCAGCCTCTGGCCTGAGAGCAGTCTCTGAAAGCAGAGCCGCGCCCTTGACCTTTCCCTTAGCAGAAGTGTGGGGTCCGTTCTGCAAGCCCCGCTTTGCACCATTAGCCACTGACACCTGGGCTCTGCCCTTTCCTCCCCACCACCCCCCTTGGCTCCCACTGACCCCTGCTGGAGCTCAGGAGGGAGGGGCGGGTTAGGGTTAGGGCCTCTGACCTCCCTCTTTGGAATTGCAGGCTCCCTCTGGATCCTCCTTTCTGCTGACAGTGAAGGGTTCATCCCGTTAACGTTCTCGGCCTCCCAGGAGATCACCATCCGCGATGGCAGCAGCGGCAGGCTGGGCTCCCCCACTCAGTGAGTCTGCTGGGCAGGCGTTTGCACCTGAGTGGTACCTGCACCTCTGAAAGGCCGTTCTGCAGCGTTCAGACGTCTGGAGCTCTCGGGGACAGATGGGCCTGAAAGGGCCCGTGCGTCACTTTGTAAAGAGACAGAATAAAATGAATAAAGTCTGGTGACGCCGCCGCTGCCGCCACCACCAAAGAGTCTCTGTCCATCTGTCCCTCTGTCTCTCTGTCTCTCTCTCTCTTTCTCTCTCTGTCTTTGTCTCTCCCTCCTCTGTCTCTCTCTGTGTCTCTGTCTGTCTGTCTCTCTATCCATGGCTGCCATAGGGTCTAGGGGGCTGTCCAAGAGTCTGGCTGGCCCCCGATAGGGAGGCTCAGGGAGCTCTGGATTGGGCTGGGGTGGGAGCCAAGAAGGCCCTGAGCTCAAATCTGGCCTCAGACGCTCCCTTGCTGGGTGACCGTGGGGGAGTCACATCATCACTGTCTGCCTCAGTTTCCTCACTTATAAACTAGGAGTCCTAACAGTCCCTCCCTCCCAAGGTGGTTGTGAGGATTTGTCAAAGCTCATCCCAGTGCCTGGTATATAGTAGTAGGTTTACCCCCACCCCAAATGTCCTAGGCACTGTGCTTGACCCTGCAAATGCAAAGGAGAGGAACAACAGTTCGTGCCTTCAGGATGCTTGCAGTCTCTGGGGACACCGCATGTGGAGAAGGGACATGAAAAGAAGACAAGCAAATTCTAGGGGAGGGGCAAACCAAGAAGGGGAATGAGAGGCAGAGGAGAGAAGGGAGAGCATTCCAGGCAGGAGGGACAGCCTGGGCAAAGGCTCAGTGTCGGAAGATGGAGGGTCTTGTTCCTGGAACAGCCAGGAGGCCACCGTCACTGGCTGGAAGATTATGAGGCAGCAGGTCAGATGTGAGAAGCCTGGAGAGTGGGGACAGGGGGCAGGTTATGAAGGGCTTTGAAGGCCAAACAGGGAATTTTGTATCTGTTCCTGGAGGTGAAAGGCATAGGGGGGGTGACACGGTCAGAACTGCGCTTTAGGAAAATCCCTTTGGTGGCCAAGTGGAGAGACTGAGGCAGGCAGACCCCCTCCCCCACCCTCAGCAGCTCCTGCCATAGTCCAGGTGTGAGGTGATGAGGGCCTGTGCCAGGGTGGGGGCGGGTGAGAGGAGACAAGGAGGTGCATCTCCAGAGGTGAAACAAGCCTTGGTACCATATTGGGTAAGGGGTGGTGAGAGTTGGTGAGGAGTCCAGGAAGACTCAGGTTGGGAGCCTGAGGGACTGGGAGGAGGGTGGTAGCCTCTCCATTGATAGGTAAGGTAACAATTGATGGGTGGGGGTTAGGGGGAAAGATCATGATTTCTGTTTTGGATATATTGAGTTTAAGATGTCTACTGGGTGTCCAGTTGGAGATGTCTGAAAGACATTTGAAGATGAGAGACTGGAAGTCACCATGGAAGCTGATGAGATCACCAAATGAAGCAGGATAGAAAGAGAAGAGAGCCCACGACAGAGCCCTGAGGGACACCTACAGTTTGAGGATGCATGTTTCACAGGGAGAGTGACTAGAAAGTGTGCCTTGAATACCTACTAATTAAGGAATGGCCAAACAAATGATGACACAGGGAATGGAGTGGAATTTTACTGCATTTTAAGAAATGAGAATGTGAGATATGTGAGATGATGTAGATGACCTGATGCAGAGTGACGTGAGCTGAGCTTGGGGAGAAGACATGCATGGGACCTAGGATAATGGCACTAAGGAGACTCTTCAGAGTATCTGAAGGCAGACGCAGTTCAGCGGTCAGACATAGTTCTGAAGAGCACATGAGGAGATACCGACTCCACGGCTGTTGTCAGAGGATTTTGCTGAACTGTTTTTCTCTGTGACTGGATCTCCCCCCACCCCTCTGCCACAGGGCAGACTGAGCACTCAGGCAGTGATCTTCCTCTCCTCATCTGACTGCCGAATCCTTAGCCTTGACCACCTTGTTCACTTACTCCAGCGTGACTCAATCTCTGGACTTTCCACTTCTTTACCAGCTGCCTTGACTCCCTTGAGTACTCTCACTCTGCCTCCTTCTCTCCCCTTTTCCAGCTCTTCTTATGTGTCATCTTCTCCTATTAGAATATAAGCTTCCTGAGAGCAGGAACTGTTTTGCTTGCTTGTCTTTGTGTCTCCTGCACTTAGCACCATGCCTGGTACACATTAAGCAGTTGCTCTATCTATTGGAAGCATCCATTTTCATATGTTGCAGAGGGGGAGGTTACATCCAGAAATGATCATGATTTCAGAAATAAGTGACATCTCTGAGAGGATTCTGGGAAGATGGCAGAGTAGGTCAGAAAATTCCAAGCTCTCCAGATTTCCCCCACAAATAAGACAAAGCAGTGCCTCAAGGTGACCATAGAGTGGTTAAAAAGAAACAATAGAGGCAGCTAGGTGGCACAGTGGATAGAGCACTGGCCTTGGAGTCACGAGGACCTGAGTTCAAATGTGACCTCAGACACTAGCTAGCTGTGTGACCCTAGGCAAGGCACTTAACCCTCATTGCCTTCAAAATTTAAAAAAATTAAAAAAAAACAAGAGTTGGGGCAGAACAGTGGTCTTCCTGGCACAGTGGGAGAAGATCTGAGATTTGGTCCCGATGAGGAATAAACACCTCCAGGCTAGTTCTGCTGAAACAAACAGCAGGTGGCAGAGCTGGGGTTGGCTGGGTTGGGAGGTAGCCTCAACCCCAACCATAGGAATTTTCACCTCCCGGACAGTGTGGGGAGTTGGGCATCTGGGTGGGGGAAGATTGAGGGAATCTTCACTGATGAGGGTACACAGGCCCAGCTGTGCTGCTGAGACTCAGCCCTGTGCTAGAAGGAGCCAGCACAGCCCTAGTGAGGGCAGAAGCAGTGGGGTGGGGACCTGCTGGCTGTGGCCACTTACAGGAGGGCGCAGTTCTTGCTTTGGGTTCCAGGCCGGAGGGGAGAACCGAAGGAGGATCTGAGGCCAGAGGCACCATCCCCCATTCCCGAGAACTAGAGGTGATTACAATAGAAAACTACTATAAATTTAGAAATAATGAACAAGCAAAGGAAAAAGAAAACAACCATACAAAGTTACTATGGGAATAGAGAAGACTGGGGTTCATCTTCAGAGGAGGGCACTGAAGCAAAAAAGCCTCTCCCACCCCAAAGAGTAGCGTCAAATTGTCACCTACCCAACAAGAATTCATGGAAGAATTTTAAAAAGACTTTAAAAATCAAATGAGACAGATTGAGGGAAAATTTTTTTTTTTAAAAAAAGAACAATCCAAGAAAAACAAGAAGATTATGAAAAGAAAGTCAACCAACTAGAAAAGGAAATTCAGAATCTTAAGGAAGAAAATGACTCCTTGAAAATCAAAATTGGGCCAGGGGAAGCCAGCAGAATTATAAGAGACCAAGAAATAACAAAACAAAATATAAAGAATGAAAAAATAGACGAGAAAGTGGAACATTTTATAAGAAAAACAGCTGATCTGGAGAGCAGACCAAATAGAGAAAATATAAGAATAATTGGACTACCTGAAAGCTATTATCAGAAGAAGAATTTTGATACAATAATACAAGAAATAATTAAAGAAAATTGTCCTGAAGTATTAGAACAAGATGGGCAGGTGGAAATAGAAAAAAATCCAACAATCACCACCTGAAAAAGATCCTATGAGGAAAACCCACAGGAATATCATAGCTAAACTCTGAAACCCCCCAGCTCAAGCAGAAGATATTACGAGCAACAAGAAAAAAAATTCAAATATGGTGGAGCCACAATTAGAATCATACAAGACCTAGCAGCAGCGACACTAAAAGACCACAGGTCTTATAACACTTATATTGAAAAGCAAAAAAATTGGGGTTGCAACTGAAAATATCATACCTTGCAAAGTTAAGTATAATCCTGAACCACAATAACAAAAAAAAAAAATGAATATTCAATGAATTGCCAGACTTTAAGGATTTTGTTGCAAAAAGGCCTGAAATCAATAGATAATTTGACACACAAGAGTCAGGAGAAATATAAGGTAAATATCAAAGGCTAACTGCAAGGACTCACTAAGGACAGACTGCTCACTTTTTATGTGAGGAAGTGTAAACTGTATGTCTCAGATTGTCATTAGTAATTGGGCGGTTCTAAAGAAAGATTGGGGCAGATTTGAACATGATGCCATACTGAAAAGTAAACCATTTAGGAAAAGGTAATAACAGTAATTATCTTATACAAACGATGCGCAAGAGGAAGAACCAGCACAGACCAATTAGGTCGGGGAGAGGGGCTGTTAGTTCTGGAAACCTACTCTCATCGGGAATGGATTAAAGAGGGGACAATACATAGATATCTAGAAGATTATAAAAATATTCTAAATTCAGAAAGAAATAGAAGGCTAAAGGGATAGGGAAGGGGAAGAGGATAAGGAGGGATCTTTGGACATGGGTAGGTTAAGTAACAGGAGGGGAAGGTAGCGGGCAGAAGTAAAGTAGGGGAGTCAGGAGAGATAGGTGATATTTGGAATATTGTTGTGGTGTAGGAAATAATGAGTTGGTAGACTTAGAAAAATATGGAAAGACTCGGACTTATGAAGGAAGAGGTGATCCACCCTAGAGAGAGAGAAGTATAGTATGGTCTTACGTAGATACGTATGAACTCATGTATATATATTTGTATGATTATAGATATCTAAGTATATGTAGGTATAGGTAAATGTGTGTATGTATGTGTATATGTATGAATATATGTGCTTATGTGTGTATGTGTGGGCACGCGTGTATGCATGTGTGTGTGTGTGTATGTATACTGTGTGTGTGTATCACCATGCTTAATTGTAGCCTTCTTGGGGGAGGGGGAGGAGGAAGGGGAAAAAAGACCGAAGTATAAAGTGCACAGCAGAAAACAAAGGAAAACTCACCAGGAAGCAAAGAAAAGATGGACAGCTCCGGACACAACGTGTAGTATTTATTACATAGGCTTTCTTGAAGTGGATATTGATTGCTGTCTATTTTGAATCCTCTCATGTTCTGCTGTGCACATACCAATGCTTTTATTTCTTTTCTTATTTTGTATTTAAGTTCTAGAATTTAAGTTTAAAGTAAACTAATAAAAAAAAAGGAAAGTGAAAAAAGAGAAGAAAGAAGTAGCACCTATTTATGTAGTCTAGGGCTGCCTTGGGGGCCTCAGGTTCTGATCTAGAAAGAAATTAGCTCCTCACAGATCATCCCACACACTTGACCCCTCACCTTTCATTTCACCCTCCCCCACTTGGGAAAGGAAGGAGGGGGGAGGGGCAGCAGCTATGTAGTGGGCCCCCCTGGCAATGGCCTTGGGCCCTAGGGCAACCTTTGTCTGGAAGCATCACCCAGGTTCAGCACATCCTGCTCAAGGTAAAGAAGCCAGCCTCCAAACTTGGGTAAGCAAGCTCTTTTAAATTTGTAGCTTTAACTGTTAATGATGAGATGTTGAAGTGCATTTAACAAAACTGAAGTCACCTGATTGGTAATGGGTTTGTTTCAAATTTCAAACCTGTGAACTTTCTCTATCAGTTATGTCAAGCAACTTTTCATAATTTGGTTACCGCTAAAATAATTTAACTATTATTGGTTATTGTTTTATTGTGTAAACTAACCAAAAAAGTTTGTTTGGGTTACGTATGGCTTGCTGAGAATTTGCAAGTGTATAGAAATCTCTAATGATTGACTTTTTACACCAGGACAAATTTAAGTTTGAGATATAAATCTTGGAAAAGTTTTTCCTAAATTGTGATTAGTGAAACTTGCTGTTTGAGGTAAAAACTCATAGGATTTTATTTTGAGTTGTCTGATGGGTCATAATCCATCGATAATCAATAATCAATAATCCACCATCTTGAGAGAAATGCCACAAGCTACTCAGAGAAGTGATACTGGTGGGAAGTCAGCATCGGGAAAAGCTGAGAGGACAATTTTAGCCTCAGTCTAAGATGGGATCCTCCTGGCTCAGTTTCCCCATTATGTTCCTTTGAAAGGGAATGTTACCTACCTGGCTATTCCTGAGTCTGGCTATGAGGTGGATTTGATACTTCATGGTTGGAAAACTGAATCCAAACAGAGCTAAGGATGTTTTATCCTCTGAAAGTTGGGCTCTAAATCTACTCCCTGCTTTATATCTGGGCCCTGCAGTTTTTTCCGTCAGATTTGTCTTCCAGACTATGGGCCATTCACCTACAGTTGGTAGCAAACAGTGAGTACCAGCCAATGTCCCCACACTGTTCCCTGGATGCAGCCTGTGCTCGGTTCCAGTCAACCTCCTCTTTGGGACCCCCTCGAGGCAGGGACAGTTCTACACCCCTTGCCAGCAGGAAGCAGTTTCAGAAGCCGAGACCTTTGCCCCTTACTCCAAAAGAATTTGGGTCCCATTTGTTTGAGGGGGGAATGATGGGGTTGGGATCTGGGCCCCAGAAAGGAAAAACCCTGGACTTTCCCACATGGCCAAATCTCTGGCTATTTATCTGAGGCTATAATCCCACCAACTGGCCTATCATTGTGGCTACACCCAATCTCCCTCCATTGTCTTTCCTCCCTGTGGCCCCCAGCCATTTCCCACCCTTAATCCTAGCTAGGCTCCATTCTCCCTTGGCCATGAGGTCCAGGTCCTGGGAGTTCTGTTCACCCCAGCTCACTGGCCACTCCTAGATCCCTCCCACAAGTCGTTCTGTATATAAGGTCCACCTTGTCTCCATTAAGATGCTTAGATTCTTAAAATCTAGCCATGGACTCAGATTCTTATAATCTAGCCATGGCTGGGATTCTTATAATCTAGCCATTGCTCAGATTCCTAAAATCTAGCCAATGGCTTACTAATGTTCAGACTCCTTAAGACTCTGCCAAATAGGATGGATGTTCTAATAAACCTTGTCTTTGGCTGAAAAAAAAAATAAATCAGAAAAGTCCACACCCACCCTTTAGTGCATGCTATTGGGTGTGTGTCCGCATGCATGTGGCACCATCTGCTTCTATTTCTGCAAAGCTGTGGCTTCTGCCTTTCTGGAACTTGTGAAAAGCATTTAGAATGCTGCTGGTCTTTGGTAGGTAATCAAGCAATAAACATTTATTAAGTGCTGGGCACTTGGATACAAAAAGAAGCAAAAGACAGTCTCTGCCCTTGAGGAGCTTACAATCTAACGGGGAGGGGTGGAAGTGGGGGGGACACCTCATGCAAACAATAAAATAGAGAACAAGCTACGTACAGGATAAATAGGAAATAACTAACAGGGAGAAGACCCTGGCATGAAGAGGGGTTGGGAAGGAGGGGGAAGCTGGGGAGGTCAGTGGTCAGAGCAGAGGAGGACCAGTGTTCTAGGCTGGGGGGACAGCCGGGAGGCTGGGGTCATGGCACTAAAGAGGATGTGTTGGGGAGTCAGGTGTAAGAAGCCTGGAAAAGGAGGAGGGGGGGACGTTGGGAAGGGCTTTGAAGGCTAAGCAGAGCATTTTGTGTTTGCTTCTGATGGTGATAGGGAACTATTGGGGTGGTGGGGGTGACGTGGTCAGACCCATGCTTTAGGAAAATCCCTTTGGTGGCTGGAGGATGCACTGGAGTGGGGAGGCAGACCCCCACCCCCAGCAGCTGTTGCCACAGTCCAGGCATGAGGGAATGAGGGTCTGCATCAGGATGGGGGCAGGATCAAAGGAGAGGAGGGGGCGCACTGGAGAGAGATGCTACAGAGGTGAAAGCAGAGGCCTTGGCACCATATTGGATGTGGCAGTGGGGGCAGGGGCAGGGCTGGGGAAAGAGTTAGTGAAGAATCCAGGGAGACTGAGGTTGTGACTCCAGGGAAGTGGGAGGTTGGTGCTGCCTTTACAGTAATAGGAAAGTGGGGCATGGGGGAGGGTTTAGGAGATGGAACATCACAGCCATTTTGAGATAGAAGAAGATGGAAATGTCCTTCAGGCTCCACCAAGGGGCTGAGGCGCTGGCTCTTTGTGTGCCTGAGAGCTCTGGATCTGACCACAGGTGTGAGCATTAGCCTGGGATTACCTTCCCTTTTCAAATGCCTGGCCCTAATTCCTTCTTCAAATCCAGCAGAACCTAAGCTGGGAGCCAGAGTCTGAGGCCTTTGCTAGGTTTGGTGCTGCTGGGCTGGGCTCAGGGACCTGTGGTCAGAGCGGTGGCTGCACCCTGGGCTACACTGGGACTGGGGTTACCGGACACAGGCACCTCCCTCCTGTGAGGGGAGAAGAAAGCCAAGCATGGGAAAGGGCTCCTGCTTACAGGAGGAGGCTGCCACTGCCCTTCTGTGGATGCCCCACCCCACCCCCCCAACACTGTTTCCTCCAAGCCTAGAGGAAAAGACAGCCCCCTCCCTTGCCAAAGCTGGCTCCTTGACTGGAAGGCCGCTTTAGACCTGCATCTCTCTGGTTTTTAGTCTCCGTAACTGTCATCTCCGCTGCTGCCTGTGGATATGTCCAGTTCTCCCGAATCCTGAAGAAACCCTCACTGGACACCACTATTCTACATCTCTTCCCCCATCATGACCAAACCTGAAAAGGCCATCTACACTCAGTGCCTCTACTTTCTCTCCTCTGGCTGCCTTACAATCAGCTCCAACGCTGTTCTCTCCAAAGTGACTGATGACCTCTTAGCTGTCAGACCCAATTGGCCTTTCCTCTGTCCCCCATGCTTCTCCATCTCTCCGCAGCCTGACACTGCTGGTCACCCTGTCCTCCTGGATCCTCTCTTCTCTCTGGGTTTTCCGGACATTGTCTCTCCTGGTTCTCCTCCTCCCTCTCTGACCACTCCTTCTCCATCTCCTTGACTGGATCCTCCTTCAGACCACATCCCTCTAGCTTCTGGTGTCCCTTGTGACTTTGTCCTGGGCACTTCTCCCTCTAGACGCCTTCACTGGGGGGATCTCATCCACTCTCATGGATTAACTATTATCTCCTATGCAGAAGGTTCCAAAATCTACTTATCTATCTGACCCTAAGCTCTCTCCTGACTACAGACTCCAGGTGGAGACTGGGCATTTCAGATTGAATGTCTGGTAGACATCTTCAACTCACCTTATCCCAAACTAACCTCAGGCTTTCTCTTCCCCAAGCCTTCCCTCTTCCTAATCCCTCCATCACTGTTGAGACCACCGCCAGCCTTGTGTCTGCAGCTCGTAATCGAGGTATTACGTGCCATATCTTGGCCCCAGGCTTTTCTCTGGCCATCCCCAAACCTGGACCCCTCTCCCTCGTCATCCCTGCTTCTTGGCTTCCCTGCTTTCTTTAAGACTTAGCTTTCTCAGCCTCCCTCCCTAAGATTGCCTCTAATTCGCCCTGTACATTTCTTAATTAATTGAGTTAATTGCATGCTGCCTCCTTCATTAGGCTGTGAGCTCCTTGAGGGCAAGGGAGGCAAGGGGGCGGGATGGTTCATAGTCAACACTTTCTCAGGCAGACTCAGGATTAGCGCTCCTCTTGTCTACTTCTTAGCCCTGGGTGACCTGGCTTCCAACCTCATCATTCACCTCAACATGTTCTCTCCAATGTTACCAGTGATCTCTTAGTGGCTTGATACAATGGCCTTTTCTTAGCATTCAACCTTCTTAGCCCTCAACTACCTTTGACCCAGTTGACCAACTTCTCACATATATTCTCTTTGAGAGATATTGCCAGACAAAATCTAACCACGTCACGCCTCTGCTTAGTAAACTCCATTGCTCCTTGGGCAATATTATATCTCCCACCTCTGCACTTTTGCACTGGCTGTCCTCTATGTCTAGAATACTCTTCCTCTTGGAATCTCTAATTCCTTCCTGGCTCAGCTCAAGTGACACTTCTTACGAGAAGCCCTATCTGATTGCTCCCATGTTAGTGCTCCCCCCCCAACACTGTCAGAATTACTCTGTGTTCCCTGTGTACATAGCTGGTGGTATTTACTGATCTGATGCCTCAGTGGCCACTGCCCAGAAAGATGCCAGCTACTGGTGGGCAGCAGCAGCTGCTCCAGTTTGGTCCTTGCATGTTCAGTCCTGGCCCATAGTAAGAGGTATTTAATAAATCCTACTTGACTTGCCCTGAATTCTCCCTGGGCCTAGGGTCAGCAGGATCAGTCTTCCCCACTGAAGGTATATATGTGGTCACAGGCAGCATGATATTCAAACGTGTCTGCAACTACATGCATATATGCAAGTCCCCGTGCGTGTGTCCTTGTGTGTGTGCCTGAGTTCATGTATCCATGAGCATGTCTCTGTATGGTCTCACAGACCTATGGATGCAGGTGCCCACCTCAGCACATCCAGCCTGTGGGCAGTCTCCTGGCGCCGCTGCTCGGTGATAGGGTAAACGGACAGAATGCCCAGACCTATCAGGACCATGCTGGTGGGGACAGCGCCAATCAAGACTTTGAGCGTGATGACCACTTTGTCAGACTGTTTACAGGAGCCAGGCTCATACCCTGCAAACCTGAGACAAAATCCCATAAAGCCCATGCCCGCTGAAGTGCATGTGAACTCATGGCCCATTGCAGACGGCACACTGGACCTCACAGGCATCTCACTGAGATTGGGGGAGCTCGCCCTCCCGGCTGGGATGTGGTTCTGGATGGATAGACTTATTAAAAAAAAATAAGATAGGAACCCACAGGATAACATTTTGTCTTGAGAAAGTATATCTCTGTGAGAAGATCCAGGAACCAGAGGAGGGACAGAAGGGGGGAGAGAATTGGGTGATTTGGTAGAAGTGATATTGTCATTGGAGGAAACCTCAGACCAATTTAGACATAAAGAAGATATAGATGAAAAGTTTGGGAAGCAGATCCCAAGCCTGGCACAGAGGCATGCATTGGGAATGATAGGGAGCTTCATTTATCCAGATGTCTGTTGAGACGGATTCTCTCTCTCTCTCTCTCTCCCCCCCCCCTCCTCTTCCTCCCCTCTCCTCTTCCCCCCTGTCTCTCTCCTCTCTCTGTCTCTCCTCTTTCCTCTCTCTGCTCTTTCCTCTCTCTCCCTCTCTCCTCTCTCCCTCTCTCTCCTCTGTCTCTCCTCTTTCCTCTCTCTCTTTCTCTCTCTCCTCTCTCTGTCTCTCTTCTTTCCTCTCTGTCTCTCTCTGTCTCTCTCTTTCTCTCTCCTCTGTCTCTCCTCTTTCCTCTCTCTCTCTCTCTCTCTCTCTCTCTC